AAAAAAGAAAAAAAAATTCTGAAGCACATGAAGGATTCCGCTGCTAAAAAAGGCATTGATTTTTTTAATCTGACAGCAAAAGCAAAAGCAGAAAAGCCAAAATAAATAAACAAGATGTAAAAGGGGTCAAATATATGGTGACAGAAAGAAATCTAACTATGGGAGGGGAACACACAATGCAATATATATACGCCTTACTGTGAAATTGTACACCTGAAACTTACTGGATTTCGTTAACCAATGTCACCTTCCCCCCAAAATAATAATAAATTAAAAATAAATTTTAAAAAAGTCTGTTACTCACCTTCTTGCCTTTCATGAACATGTTGTACACATTAGATAAAATTTTTTGAAAGACAAAGCTTTTTAGTCTCCAGAATGCAGTCTCCAGACATAAAAGCAAGAGGAGGTAAAATAAGCCCAAGGCAGCTGATGAAATCAAAAACTGTGCAATCCCATGCTCTCCAAAACTATAGATGTTGTTCTCAGTATCTGAGGATGATAAAAGATAATTTGAAAAATAAATTTATTTAAATTAGTTTCAAGTATACAGTACATAGGTTAGACATCTATAATGTTCATAAAATGATCCCAATTGCTCCCTCCTTCCCCTGGCCCTCAACTTAGCCATCATATTAATGCTGACTGCATTCCATCTGCCATGCTCCCCATCCCTGTGCCCAACTAGCGACTACTAATTTGTACTTCTTTAACCCTTCACCCCATTCTCCCAGTCTCCCAAACCCCCTACCTTCTGTCCGTCACCAAACTGTCCACTATATTTGTGAGTCTGAACAAATATAGTGGACAGTTTGTAACGTCATCCATCCCTTCATTCTGTCTCTGAACAAACTAATTTTTGATTAGTTTGTTCTTTTTGTTCCTTAGATACCGCATATAAGTGAAATCATATGGTATTTATCTTTCTCTGTCTGACTTATTTCACTCAGCATAATAACCTCTAAGTCTATCCATGTCATCGTAAATGGTAGTATTTCAGTTTTTTAATGGCTGAGTAATATTCTGTTGTATATATGAACCATAATCTTTTTATCCAATCATCTGTTGATGGGCATTTAGGTTGCTTCCATATCTTGGCTATTGTAAGTTGTGCTGCCATGAATATTGGAGTGCATAGGTCTTTATGAATTATTGTTTTGGTTTTCTTTGGATAAATACCCAGAAGTGCAATTGCTGTGTCATAAAGTATATCCATTTTTCATTCTTTGAGGCACCTCCATACTGTTTTCCATAGCAACTATACCAATTTGCAATCCCACCGATAATATATGAGGGTTACCTTTTGTCCGCATCCTCGCCAGCACTTGCTGTTTTTTGATTTATTGATCATAGCCATTCTGACAGGTGCGAGATGATATCATTGTGGTTTTAATTTGCATTTGTCTTATTGGTGACCTTGAGCATCTTTTCATATGTCTCTTGGCAATCCATATTTCCTATTTGGAGAAATATCCATTCAGGTCTTCTGCCCATTTTTTAATTGGCTTATTTT